TTCTCATTTTTTTTTTAACCTTTCACAAGATAACATAATCACCAAGTCAGACTTTCTGGAAGTTTTCACTTTTATACTTTGATCAAGCTGTGGCTTTAAGCATATGTATAAATATCAAAATCTTTATCAACATTATTTATACTCTGACAGCCTTTTTAAAGAAAAGAAAAGTGAAAATGGTATTTGTAAATTTCCAGTGATTTATATCTGCCAATTTATCTTCACGACTGCAACTTTAGTATTGTCATTATTACCCCTTTTTTTGATGAGGAAACGAATAACTAATGCATTTAATTTAATTGCATACAGCAATTCCTACAACAGTCTGCTAAAGATTGTTTTCATCCTGCTCCTAGATCATGGCCCCAGTTCTTTGGTATCATACACCATCCACATCTCTAAGCTGAACCTCAATGTTATTATATCTCTTACATTACATTTAATTAAAATATTACACTCAAGGTCAAATAAGTTACTTTATATTGTTGAATTTACTTTGTTCCTTGGCTTCAAAAAATTCTAAGCAGGTATTTGTGTTCTCTGAAGCCAAACTGATGGTATTTTGTGTCCAAAAGATGTTGGGTTATACATAAATTATTAAGACATTTGGATTTTTACTCCTAGAATATGATGTTCTTTCTTAAGGTTCTATGCAGGATGATGTATTGGATAAAAATAATTCTGTGTGTCTAACACTGAAAAGAAATAAAATAAATTGGAAAAAAAGCAATTCTGTAAGTCTGTAAATATGTCATAAATAAATAATGCCTCAGTTTAAAAAATAAAATATTGATATTGTGGATATGCAATAATGCAACAGAAGGGATATGGTTATCAGGAAGGGTAACAAAATGACAGTGACAATATTTGCTAAGTACATCTCAGGTCTGTCTTGTATACTGCATTACTTAATCCTTATAGCAAACTTAGCAGTGGGTATCATTCTAATTTTCACTTTAGAAAGAAAAATACTGATGAAAAAACAAAGGATTTGTCTAAGATTGCAGTTCAAAAAAGTAGCAAGGTCAGACTTTGGATGCATAGATTCTGATGATATATATCCAAGCTCTCCATCTAACTTTTTGCTGGATCTAGTAGAGGTGAAAAGAAAGAATAAAGAAACACATGTTTGTACAATTGTTTTATTCATTCTGCATTGGGTGGCATTCATTAATTATTGAGATGGAAGGTGCTAGGAAGTAGTTTAGAAAAAATATACTAACAGTGATGGAAGCTTTGTATATGGAATCCGATATCCACAAGACCCATTGTAAACATAGGTCCGTGTTTGATAGTCTTTGACAACATGATTCTCTGTTTGCATAGACCCAGTGAGGTCAGATAATTCAGGATATTGAAAGCCAGACTGAAAAGCCCAAGCCTGATGTTATAAAGAAGAGGAAGCTCTGAATACCATACCCAGGGAAGTGACGTGATTAGAGTGGTGCTTTAGAAAGATTGATTTTGCATTTACATGCCGTATGGATTGAAACTTGGTGGGATGTCCAATAGGAAAGGAAGCCAAGAGCCACTAATGGCATTGCAGGTAGAGGCAGATGAGATTTGGGCTTAGAAGTGGAAACAGGAAGGAAGAGTAGAACACAAGAATTATGATGTGGGAATGATGAAAATAACTTTGTGACTTATGATGTATAGAAGAGATAGACTTGAAGATGAACATGATTATAAAACAATTGAGAGTGGAGGGATGAATCAGAGATATTGGTTCTAGGCTTATTAGACCCTTTCCACTTGAATAGGTTTTGTACCTTTGTATACTATTTTTAATTACTGAAATTTTCAATTCATCATCTATTTCCTGGGGACTGAGTATAGTCCAGTCACTTTTCTCAATGTTGCATATATGTATGCATGCATATGTGTAAGTGTGGAATATGTTGGTAGTAAGTGGTTGGACATCTAAAATCAGGAGGTAAAAGAAATAAAAGTATTTAGGGATATATGAGAGCTGCAAGTCATAAGCATGGTTTTCCTTTTAGTCAGTAGCAGAAAGAAGAGACCAGCAAAACATAAATGCAAATGAAAAACCAGGGTAAGAGTCAGCCTGTTGGAAAATAGACTATCTGGCTAGAAAAACATACCCTCTGGCTCGAGTTTTGGTAATGGTTCCTTTGTGCTAAGAAAAAAAGCTGCTTATTTCTCTGTAGTTGTATCATGTCAAGGGCACAGGTTAGCTATTGATGCATACCTCTGTGATCAGAGTAAGAACCAAGGACCATGTCCAATCTGAATGTGTGGTCAAAGGTGGAGTCCAGGATGTATCACATCTCTCCCTTCCCCCCTCTTTGTATATGGAATCCGATATCCACAAGACTTTAGCACCTTTCCTTTTCAAATGTATCCTTAAACTGAAGATTATAATTGCTATGATGTCCAATTTAGACCTGGCTCATAGTAGAGCATAAATAGGCTTTAAGTGAAGAATTGGCAGTCCAGTTATAAGCAAACATGGAGTCGGTGTATGTTTTGTTTTGTTTCTGCAAACTTTAGGTCAAACCTACAGATTAAAAGAATGTACAGTCATAACCTGGGGATTAAAGAAACATGAAACTATGGTAATGTTTATATATGGCATCTTTCATAGATTTTTTAGGACATTTAAAACTTTTATTTCCAGGTAAGATTTTAATAGCGATATGATTTTGGGTTACATCAATATTCTTCACATTAATCTCCAAATCTTAAAGTTATTCCATAATGCACTTAATAGGATATCCAAATAATTTACAGTTACTAATTAAAGTTGAAATGTACACTGTTGCATTTCTCTACAATATTCATATCTAAAAGGCTATAAAACTGCCTTCCTGGTTCTTTCCCAGTACCATTTATAAGGCGTATTTTTATGTGATCTATAGTGCTCTCTTTCAAGTCTAGCAAATGAGGCACACTTGACTTTTGACAGCCATTAAAGATTTTATTATGAATGTTTGATTGTGTCAGAACAGGAATTTACATTTACTGTATTATTTTCAATCAAGTTTTTTCTTTTCTTTTTTTAAGATTTTATTTATTTATTTGAGAGAGACAGAGATAGTGACAGAGAGCATGAGTGGAGAGGAGAAGGAGACGCAGGCTCCCTGCTGAACAGGGAGTCCCATGCAGGACTCGATCCCAGAACTCTGGGATCACCACCTGCGCTGAAAGCAGGTGTTTCACTGACTGAGCCATCCGGGTGTCCTCAAGTTTTCTTTTGTTTTTGTTTTATAAAATTAATTTCAGAGATTGTGTGTGTGTGTGTGTGTGCGCGCATTTTTTTAAAGATTTTATTTATTTATTTGACAGAGAGAGAGAGATCACAAGTAGGTAGAGAGGCAGGCAGAGAGAGGAGGAAGCAGGCTCCCTGCTGAGCAGAGAGCCCGAAGTGGGGCTCGATCCCAGGATCCTGAGATCATGACCTGGGCGAAAGGCAGAGGCTTAACCCACTAAGCCACCCAGGCGCCCGTGTGTGTATTCATTTTAAAGATTTTTTAATTTATTTTAGAGTGAGAGAGCAAGAGGAGGGGCAAAGGGAGAGAGAGTCTTAAGTAGACTGCGCTGATTGCAGAGCCTGGCACAGAGCTCAATCTCAGGTCCCTGAGATCACCACCTGACCTGAAACCACGGGTCATACGCTTAACAGACTGCACTACCCAGGCACCCCTTACTTATATATTTTTATAATATAAGTATATATTTTAAGTATATCATATGTAAATTTCCAACTTTATGATTGTTTCAAATATGATATTGAAAAGAAAGAGAAGAGGGCCATCTGGCCGACTTAGTCACTAGAGTGAGTACGTGACTCTTCATCGTGTGTCATGAGCTCAAGACCAAGGATGGATGTAGAGATTACTTTAAAAAAAGGGGGGGAGGAGAAAAAGAAACTGGCAGATAGAGATCCCTTCAGTGTTTAACGTACCTCTAATTCTTTATGTTTCTGGAGTAGAAGTTTCATTAATTTCCTCGTGAGACTTTTTTCTCTCTTATTTTCTCCTCTTGCCTCTTTAGCACTTTTGATAATTATTTATAAAGTTTTGTATACTGGAAAAAACAAAGTTTCACTCAGGATACATTATTGAACTTGAAATAATGTAACGGATGGACACAAAAACATACAAGACAGACTTTCTAGCTGTTTTTAAAATGTAAGGGTTTCACATAAAGGTTTATTTTACTTAATTAATACATAAGCAAAACTAGAACAGGTAGTTTACAGTTTTATTTAGTTTATAAGGACACTTACTCTAAACTTGACACTTTCCCCAAAATTGTTAATATAATTTTAATGAACAAAAAAATAAATCTCACATCTTCACAAAAGATATTTGTACTGATGATTCAACAGAGTCTTTGTTTCTTCTTATTTTTTTTTTATAAAGATTTTATTTCTTTGTTTGACAGAGATCACAAGTAGGCAGAGAGGCAGGCAGCAAGAGGAGGAAGCAGGTTTCTTGCTGAGCAGAGAGCCCAATACGGAGCTTGATCCTAGGATGGGGCTTGATCCTAGGGCTCTATGATCATGACCTGAGCCGAAGGCAGAAGCTTTAACCCACTGAGCCACCCAGGCGCCCCTCTTCTTATGTTGTTTTTTAATTGTACCTTCAGTCTCTGTCCCTTTCTCTTTCTTTCTCTTACACACACACACACGTACACACACACACACACACACAGACATACACAGGGGAGCTTGTTTTCCTTGAATGCAAATAAAATCCCCATATTGTATAGAAAAGGCAGAAGTAAAATTAATGCCTCCATCAATGGAATTTGATAGCAAAGATTTTACTCTTCATTTTCTATAAAGACTGACTAATGTATACTTTCTTGCAATTTGAAAACATCATTCAGCAGTTTATGCAAGCTATCTCATTCAAATATATTAAGTGACATAGGGAACAATTTTCCTTTATTCCTAATTGTCAGCACCATTAAGCCTTAATAATGGCCACCCATATTACCTGGCTTATATTTCCTTTGTTTTTGCTTTCCTGTAGATGTGCCATCCAGTCCCTATGGAGTGAAGATTATAGAGCTGTCACAGACCACAGCCAAGGTTTCTTTCAACAAGCCGGACTCCCATGGAGGTGTACCTATTCATCACTATCAAGTGGATGTCAAAGAAGTGGCATCAGAAACCTGGAAAATAGTACGCTCCCATGGAGTTCAAAGTGAGTCAATGATTTCAAAGTTTGTTGGTTAATTCAAGCTGACCTTCAGTGTTCTTGTGTGATGGGGTTTTCGTTTTTCTTCAATGTGGACTTTCTTTTTCTTTTAATAAAGTAGAGTTGGGAAGACATTTCCACTGCCCTTTTCTTGTTAGGAATAATTTTAATACAGAGTAGGAAAGTTTTCATCTTTAATAAAGATGGAAGAGTTTAACAAACTCACCGAAGTTCAATTTTTGGAGAGAAAATTTAGTATGTAGAATTTTGGTGGTGGAGAAATAACTACTGACATGTCAGATTTGATGGCTGGATATTCTGAAATATGTTTTTTTTTTTAATTTATTTGTAAGATGTCTTCCATAAGTAGAAAAGTCATGTTGTAAAAGGTAGAAATACAGACATGTAAATTGTAAAAATCTTATATATGTATATATGAAGCCATCTATAAAAATTATCTGTCTACTAAAATTTATTTCAAAACTGTGTTTTGAAAACTCAAGTTTTCCTACAATTTGTGGTCTTTCAAGTAATGGAATAAGCTAATTCTAAGAAGTTAAAACAATTTACAGCATTTCTTTTCACATACAGCATTTCATCATTGTGAAAATGTGATTTGTTTTCCCATTATAGGAAGAAGCTAAATTAGGAAATGACAATTAATTACAAGAGGGAGACTGTTTGTTGGAATATAGATCTACATTGCATAGTCCAAAAGGACAGTAAAGAAAATAGTGAGGAAACTATTGTTCTGTAGTGTCCCTCCTCTGCTGGCACTGTCCCTGGCTTGATCCTAACATGCCTGGTGTAAGGGCTCTGTAAAAGGCATCAGCTGTTCTATGAAGAAAAGCATGAGCCCTCCTGTGAAAAACTGTCCTAGTGGACAGCAGAGACAGAACAGATAAAATCATTCTAGTTTTACCTGTGTCAATACCCCCTAGTTCCATTTTTACTGAGAGTAACTACAGGTTTTTGATAGAAGTGCCAGAAATATTCATTAATCTGTCATCAGTCATTTACTACACTCTTCACATAATACCCCCAGACATGTCCGCTCTTACCGTATTTTGTGGTTTTTTTGTTTTGTTTTGTTTTTTGGGGTTTTGTTATTGTTGTTGTTTGTTTGTTTGTTTAATGATGAGAGGATTTGGATAGGTACTGTTTTTTTGTGCAAATGCTATGTGTTTCAGGAGAGAAGACAGTACCCCAAAAGAATGAGCAAATGAGTTCTGAGACTTTAGTGGAAGAAGCCATTATCCTAGATTAAAGAACACTATTTTTTAAGAGAGTAAACAAGAGAAGTGAAAGATGAGAGACAGAAAGACAAATGAATTATTTCGGACACTACAGAACACTCCAAGTGTGTGCTTTGCACAACCATGAAGAAAAGTAAGGATAAAACTGAATATTAGAGAAATTAAACTTGGCAGAATAATCTTGCCACACCTCACCCCTCCATCCTGGTGAAGAAGTTTAATAGATTCTCCCAAGACTTCTTACAAAGCTACAACACAATTATGGATTTATAATTGCCTTGATCTGATGGAGTTGTTCATGTTCAAAAACCTGTTTTGTTACTCCGGGTATCCATGTTTCAGAAGCAGATTTCTATGTTTATAAAACTTATATATAAGAAAGAACACAAATCAGTTCATAGTTCATAAATATTTATTTTATTTTAGTCGCCGTGTTAAGAACTGAAAATAAATCAATACTTTTTGAGCACAAACTGAAGAATTTGGTATTATCAATATCTTCTATTTTACAGAGGATAAAGCTGAGGACTATCTATATAAAGGAGAAAACTGAGACTATAAAGTTTAGCTTCTTATCTGAAAGGTAATATGGGTAAATAATAGAGCTAAAATTCAAAACCTAACAGGAAATCTGATTCCAAAGCCATACTGTTGACAGTTATGCACCTTTTCCCCCTCTATTCAATTAAGAGTTAAGAAAGTGGAACAAGAATTACTGCCTTGTAAAGTCTGAATATGACCCATTTTATAAATATATATATATATGTGTGTGTGTGTGTGTATAAAATTTGAAAGTATGTTATACAATTTAAATATATTTATATATAAATAATTTTTAATATTAAAATATATATAATATGTAATGTGTGTGTGTGTATGTTTGTGTTTGTTGGCAATACATTTTAGATAGCTAGTGGAAGGAGTTATATAGGGAATTTAGGGAATAATCTGCCTGACCAAGTTAAATATGAATTAGAAAGTTGAAATATCACTATTATTTAAAAGTTTCTTTTTAGAAAAGAAGAAAGCAGGAATGAAGGGACAAGAGTGGGGAGAGAGAGAAAAAGGAAAGAAGGACAACCTGTCAGGATGGCTAAAGTTGGACATTTTAAACATGTTTCTTCACTCCATCCCATATATGTATGGTTGACTAGACTACAGGGTCCAGAACATGTATGATAGACATTGTGTACACGTGAGTTGTGATTATGTGATGTAGTCATTGATGGTTTCAAAAGGATTATAACTGAGAGAGAAATAATTACATAGTTCCTTCAGTGGAAACATTATGCTTCAATGCAATACAAAGATATAAGAACAATTTAGTAAAAAATTATTATAAAGGATCTAAAGAATGTGGGCCCAGTACACAGCTGTCTAATGCAGCTTGATTTAAGGGTGAAAGTTCAATGATTTGGAGCAGAGGGCAAGCTTAACAATAGTGAAAATATTAAAAATTGTCTTCAACTTTATAATTATCCATACATATTCTGGAAGGGAGATCTGTAGCTTTCATTCATTTCTTTAAAGAAAAGTATCTTAAAAATGTTTTTTTAGTTTGACTTTATTCTCAAATTATAGTTTAGCTGAGTATATAACTCCAGCTTGATCATTACTTTCCTTTGGTGATCTAAAGAGTATTTTACCCTCTTCTGTCTTCCCTTGTTATTTTAAAGTCTGCTGGAAGTTGTCCTTTCTTTGTAAATATTTTGACTTTTTTCTTAAGATGGTTTTGTGATATCTACTTTAATTTGGTATCTTGAGGTTTAGTTACTTGTCCTAATGTAGAGCTCTTCATTTCTTCTGTTTGAGGGTCTTGGTATTCCTCAATCTAAAGATCCATCTCTTTCATCAATTCTGGAAAATGTTATTATCATTACCTTGCATATCTTGAATATGAATATTATTTCTTCCCTCATTCTCTCTATTCATTTATTCTGATAATCCAAGTTACATGCTACATTTGTTACTTGAGATATTAGACTATCGTATCTCTTTACCTAGATTTTTTTGTTTCATTCCTTTACTGTGTTATTTTTGTTCTACTAGTTCACTAATTCATAATTCACTTATATCTCCCACTAAAACTCTCTATCAAAATTTTAATGATCATAGTTTTAATGTATATAAGTTATATTTGTTCATTGTATGTTTCAGCAGTATCTCACTTATGGTGGTTTGTTTAGTAGTATATTTTATGATTTAATTGTGATCTCGTATTTTGTTAACCTTATTACTAGGATCATGCAAAGCCTGGGGTTTGGGGGCTTCTTCCACAAAAGATATTCTTTTGCTTCAGGTAGTTGCCCTGGAACTTTCCAAAGGTGGAAGTACCAGAGCACCTTAAATTAATTTCTTCATTTGAGATTTTCTGTGCTATGAGAGCCAGTTTATAGTTACTAATTTTCAAGAAGTTTTTATCCAACCCCCTTTGCCGAATTGGGATTTGGTTCAAGGCCAAGCCAAACAAAATTTTTCTAACCCACAGTTTTACTTTCTTCTAAGGACTTTGGCATTCCTGGGTCCATGAAGGGATCCAAGTCTCAGATCTCCCTCTTTCTTCTTTCCCCAGTGAGGACATTCAAACCCAATCTTCTATATTACAGATCTGTGCAAAAGCTCTCAGCTATTTGAGTATCAGTGAGATTTTCCACAAGACTGCAATAATTGATAGAAAAGCAATTACATGATTGCTCCTCTAGCTTCAGGTCTCCCCATTCACATCATTTTTTTATAGAGTTTGACTTCCTTTCCTATGAGATTATATGTGCATTTAAAAAGATTTTTTGGAAACAGTGTGTATAATTATTATCATATTTAAAAGACTTGATTTTTTGGTTGTGTAGGTAATCATATTGAAATTCTGAAGACATCTATTAAAGCACATACATAGTTTTGAATGGTGAAGAAATGCTTTTTTTGTGCCTTTGTTTTATAGTTTGAACTGATGATTCATCTTAAAGTTTGAGTTCTGTAAGCATAGCTGTACTCATTGGCCTTGAGGCATTTGTTAGAATACAGATTTAGGTTTATCTGTGAAAAAGTTGTCATGGTTGTGAATATTTCTGCTGTGACTTCTTACCCTCGACATGGTTTTATTTATTTATTTTAATTTACATGAGTTCAGTTGACATTCATTTGTTTTTCTTGGCTCATAAATATCTATAATTCATTGTATACTGTTCATATATCTACTTCTACCTAGAAGTAAATATCTGTTCTTGCTTGATTGTTTCTTGCATAAGCAAGAAAATTTTAGCAAAAAAAAATTTCTATTAGTAGATTCTGATTCTAAATAACTCATTAATTAATTTCCTGTGAATTTCACCTGCTCACTCTGCACCTGGCCCTAGGTCTAGGGTGCATTTGCAGTCTAGACAAGTTATTATCTTCTTCAAGGTTTAGCTGAAGTCTTACTGATCATCCCAATCACTGATGTGATACAAAACTAAATTTGAAATGGAGAGAGTTGTGAACAAATCTGATATCAACAACTTGAATTATTCAAACTTCGAATGTGAGTCATTCTGACATTTAATTTTGAGTGAAAAATATGTATCACAGGTGTAGCAAGACTTTTTGATTGGGAGGGATATATGACATTTTCATTACCCTATCATTTAACACTTTGTAAGCATGTTCTATATACCTCATTGGGCACAAATGAAGAGAAGATAATAATCTTGCAAAACAGCTACTCATCTTTCAGTATTCAAAATAAAAATGAAAAATTAACATTTTAAAATATCA